AGTCAGCAGGTTGCATTCCATTAATACAACTTGAGATACAACCTTGTGAATTCATTTGTTAACATTAAACTGAATTTCCATCCCCTCCTGTTATTGCAGACATGGTTCGAAAATGGAACTCCCCCTACATTCTGGCTTTCTGGATTTTTCTTCACGCAAGCCTTCTTAACTGGTGCCCAACAGAATTATGCTCGGAAATACACCATCCCAATTGATCTGCTAGGGTTTGATTATGAAGTTCTGGAAGACAAGGAATACAAATATGCTCCTGAAGATGGTAAATATACAATCAAATTGACCGTACTATAATTTGGAGAACTTTATTTTATTTAGCACTCTGGTATTCCACCCTTCATCTAAGATGCTCAGGGTGGAAAATTGAGAAAATGGAATTTAAGCTCTCAAAATCATGAGTTAGGCTGAGGGTAAGTGAAAGACCATATATATGCTAAGCAGAGATGTGCACCACAGCTCTTCTCATCTTTTGTCCACTTGATCCTGTGCATAACACTCACACAATTCAGGCATTATATTCTTTCGCCAGTTTAACTGAATTACGAATTCATGTTGGGAAAATTAGTTATAGCAAAGTCCTTGAGGAGATCATCACAAAGATTAAGAGGTAGGTTGTGGCCTGTTATGGCCACATATTTAACACAGAATCTACTTCTGTATAGGAAACTGCACATAAGCCATACTTTTCAATGGGCTTTTGTATGTGGAAATATAACTACATCCATGGTAAAGCTGTAACCAATCTCCTTTCTGTTTACTTTTACATACAGAAATGATTCGTGCCTTAGATTTGTCTCTACGAGCTGTACAATGTACAGAATCCATTTATACGATAGTTGTCAAAAACTCATAATCCAATGTAAAGTTCACTTACAATATAAAATTCAATACTTTGCCTTTGAATCACATCATTTTATACCAACTTATCCTATTTTTTTCCAAATAAAAAATAGGAGTCTACGTTCATGGATTATTCTTGGATGGAGCTCGCTGGAACAGGAAGACGAAGAAGTTAGGGGAATCTTACCCCAAAATCCTTTATGATAATATGCCAGTGGTTAGTATCTTCCTGATAAATGAGAATTCTTCCAGCAATTTATAGAGTGATTCGGCATCCATTGACCTGGGCTCAAGCAAGCTCAGTGGGACTTGCTAGTTCCACGATGGGGATTCAAACATGCACATTAGCCGTGCATATGTAACAAGTAACGATGTGACCATATCCCAATTCTCAAGTTGTGCTGTAACTGTATTTGAATGTGCCGTTATGCCGATTGGCCTGATTTTGCTCAGAGATTCACAAAAGTAATCCATCCCCACCCAGATCAAGGGAAGTAGACTAATCCACATGCAGTTTGGACTCTCTTAAAAGTCTCCCTCTACTTGCTGCAGATGTGGCTCAAGCCTTGCCGAAGGTCAGACATTCCCAACAGACCGAGTTATTTGGCTCCAGTGTACAAGACAAGCGAAAGACGAGGAACTCTGTCCACTACAGGCCACTCCACCAACTTTGTGATTTCAATGATTCTCCCTTCAGACAGGCCAGAAGAACACTGGATTGGACGAGGGGTGGCCCTGTTATGCCAGCTCAACTCCTAACCTAAGACACACCACCGTGAGAGAGAGGCTAGCTGGCTGTCCTGCCACATTCAGTATCTGTCTTTTTAATCGCTTTTTTTCTAAAGAAATTCAAATGTTTCAAAACTTTTAAATACACTTTATTTGCATCTTTAATTTGTAAAAGATTAAAATAAGTTGCATGAAATAATAATAATAAAAGTTCCCGTGGGTAAAAAGCAGTCTGCGTAATTGTTTATTCAGTAATTTTATTTTCTTATGTTCCTTGTGAATAAGGAACAGACATAAACACAACACTGTTGACAATGGACAAAAACAGCATTTAATCATTTCCAGCTTTATATATATATATTTTTTAAAAATGGATTTTGTTGTAATAAATCAAAACAACACCCCCCCCCCCAATTCCACAAAATTATATTCCAAAAAATTTTATCGCTCAAAAATCACTATTTTATTCCAAGAAAAGGAAAAAAAAACATAC